CCTGCCAGTCTTCCAGGAGAGCTGTGAAAGTGAACATCTGGCTCCTCAGCTTTTGTACAGGGCCTGTTTTCCCCAGCTCCGCACTACCTCCCTATGCCTTCTGGAGAGTAAGGTCAGAAAGCTGTAGCTGGGCACAGAAAGCCCCCACTGTCCACTCCACTCCGGCAACGATTTCAAAATGGGATTTAAAAGCAAAGGGTAACTTGGGGAGCCTGGGTGGCTCAGTCGGTTAAGCGTCTGCCTTCAGCTCAGGTCACAATCCCAAAGTCCTGGAATTGAGCCCCATGTTGGGCTCTCTGCTCAGCGTGGAGTCTGCTTTTCCCTCTCCCTCTGCCGCTCCCCCTACTTCTGCTCTCTCTCACACACATAAATGAATAAAATCTTTAAAAAAAAAAAAAAAAAGCAAAGGGAAACAATTTCAAAATTTTATTTATTTATTTGAGAGAGAGAGAGAGAGAACGCATGGCAGGGGGAGAGAGAAACTCAAGCAGACTCAGTGAGCACGGAGCCCGACTTGGGACTTGATCTCACAGCACTGAGATCAGCCCTGAGCCAAAACCAAGAGTCAGACACCTAACCAACTGTGCCACCAAGGCGCCCCAAATGGCAACCATTTCAGATGGTTGGGATGCTAGGAAACAGCTGAGAGACATATGAATCAACAGAGGTTGGGGTGGAGGTAGTTAAGAGGTATCACCTTTGCTCTCCCCCTCTTTCAGCAACCAAGCCCAATCAAGTTTGGGTGGGAGGATAGGCTGGGAAAAGGCATGTGTTCAGGATGCATACTCTAAGTGTCTATTCCGTGCCATCCCCATGGAATGGACCAGGAAGGCAGGAACAAAGTCAGACTGCTAGGCTAAGAGCAATGCTCAATTCCACCTGTAATAGGCAGAATTCTCACCTTTTTGTGAGAATGAGATGCTGGAGCGTCTTTCTATCTGGGCACTGGAGTAGAAAGCCTGACATCACCGAGCCTTTGATGACGATTGGAAACCAAAGGTAGCGGAGGGATGAGGAAGCCTCTGTAAATAATTATGACTCCAACACTTATATTGCCAGCTCTTCTAGCACACCCTCTCCCCACCAACCATGTCCCCTGTGACTGCCAACACCTGCTAGATAAGCAGTCTTGTCTTTGGGAACCTTGTGGATAATGACAAATGAGCCTGTCCTTTCTACAAAGATGATGCTATTCTGCCGTCATTCAATTCAATAAGGTCTTTTGAGACTGATTATGGGTTCAACTTTGAACCAGGTGCAAAAATGATTAAGAGACAAACCCTGCCCTGGGAGACTTTGCAATCCACTGATTGGGCTCAACAGTCTAAAAACCTTGTATCTTACTCCACTTTCATTTGTAATCATGTTTTTCTGCCTTCTATCAAGCCCTCTCTCACTGAAAGCTTTAATTCCTGCTGCTAACCTCACTTAGGATATTAGCAGTGTGCTGAATAGTCAAGAACACAAGCTTTGCGTCTGCCTTTGGCTCAGGTCATGATCCCAGGGTCCTGATATCGAGCCCCGCATCGGGCTCCTTGCTCAGCAGAGAGCCTGCTTCTCCCTCTCCCACT